GCTAGGGCATCAGCTGTGGTTTTATCTCTGAAATTGCAACTCCTAAAGACTTTGTGTAAATAGGATCTAAGAACAAGCTTGCATTCATGTAGTACCCCTGACACCTGACTCAGGTATTGAAGTACTAAAAGCGAGTCAGTCATGTAATATTATTGAAAACCAAAATGGTAACGGAACTTTTACGCCCACGTGCAGAGCTCTCCTCTGCCTTCAGTGAATGCCATTTTGAAAGCAGGTAAAATAAACCCTCCTCCCAGCTCCAAATCGGGTTTAGCATTGGAAGGGATTTCAGGTCATTTAATGCAAAATAAATACAAGGCATTAATCTGCGGACACGGAACAAAGCTATATTTAAAAAAATAACAGCATGCAGGGATTGCTGTTTGAGGGATTTGCAAAACAGTTGCGAAGGCTTTGATGAAATCACAATTTTGGTCACTCCTGACCTTTTCTCATTTAAGTTTGAATGAACTTTTTAGTGGGTTATTTTTTTTGCCAGGAAGGGTGGTAGAGACCAGGATATTGGGCTCATTTAAAAAAGGTTGATGCTGTGATGGGGGTGGGGGGGGTAAGGTGTTCTGTAGGGATGACATCAGATGGGCTGAAGAGCCTTCTTTATCAGAACCGAACCAATCTTGTGATTGCTTTTTTAAAACATCCCTGAATTCTGCTCCTCCTAATAATAATCCTTGCATTTGACATCGAGCCTTATCACATTGTTGAGACGTCTCAAAGAACTACACAGAATATATTGTAAAGTGGATTGACTATGTATTTTGTAGGTGCAGCGAATTGCACACATCACTGACCAAAACAGTCGTGGATTAATTGACAAAATTTGTTTTTGAGGGATTATTATTCCCGGAAATCGATCCGCCAATCGAGTAATAACCAAGTTCTACTTACTGCTAGATAAACAGAGGCATGTGGAGCGAGGAAACTTGCTAAAGGATTCACCCCGCCAGGAATCGAACCCAGGTTCTCTCGCTTGTGAGGGGTCTTCTACTTGTGTTCCTATTTCTCTGGCCTCTATTTTTGGAGGTGGAAAGCCTAAATGAGGAAAAGCACTTGAAAATTCCCCTCGGACCTCCACAGGCAATCAAGCCAGGTTCCGCAAGAGTAATTCTAATCATTTACCACAGCATTTACTCTAAGATGCATTGGGACTTCATCAGAATCCCCTGGCCCCAGTGCTCCACTCCTTACTTATAGCTGCCCCAGTCAGCCTGACCTGACACATTCTCATCTGCACAAGAGGTGATTTACGTGTCTCAGGCTTTCTGCTGTCACACGTGCAAGACACTAATTGAAAGGAGCCCTCATGTCATTCGAAGTGAGTTATGAGTGAACTAACGGCTCTCTGTCTTTTTGCTGTATGGGAGAAAGCCACCACTTACTAAGTGCTGTATGGACAAGTGTATTTTGAGCTTCAAGCCAGACATGATACACTGCCTTTCCTCCTATCACGCCAACTTTCTTCCTGCTCCACTGACACCCCATCCCCCAGAGTTTCAAGTTTGAGATCCTCTTCCTTACCTTTAAATCCTGCAACAATTTTGCCCCACCTTATTTTTGCGACCTCCTCAAATCCTACCAACCCATCCAATCCCTCTGCTCAGCGAGCACCGGCCTGCTTCTCCCCCTTCCCCCGAATCATGAGGGGTTGGGCTTTCAAGGTAACTACACCCCCCCCACCTCCCAAATCTCTAGAATTCCAACCCGCAGTCCCTAAAACTAACGCCTTCCCTCGCCTCCTTTAAGCTCCATCTCAAGACCGTGCTAACAGCCACCTTTACCCTTTCACTCCCTTCAAGCCCTCCCTCTCCCCATACACACATACTCAGCCGCCACCCACATTTCAGGTGCAAATTGTGGACTGTCCATCCACTTGGAATGGCCTCCTGACGTAAAAAGTGCTATATAAATGCCTTAAAATCAGAGCCCCGACAATTGGAACTAAAGTCAGGAATCATTTCTTCACGCAGAGGGCTGTAAAAATATGGAACTCTCTGCCCCAGAAAGCTGTAGATGTGCTATCTCTCTCTTAAAAATCGAGAGGGATGTTTAAAAGAGAGGTAGAGAGAGAGTTAGGTAAGAGAGGTATTAAGAGATATGGCAAAAGGGTGGAGCATTGGAATGAAAATATCTGCTAAGATCTGATAACTAGTGGAACAGGCTCGATGGGCTGAATGGCCTCCTCCTGTTCCTGTATTGCTATATAAATACAAGAATGGGAATCAAAGAGGAAGTATTTTCTGTGCCTGAGGATTTCAAACACTTTCCTTAATCTTTTGATGCGTGTAATGTTCTTTCTGTTGTACAGTATGTTTCCACATTACACAGCAGAAAGCTCCTTCTGCATGCATTCGGTAGTCTGGCCACATGATGGCTGTGTGTGCAGTAATTGATCAGTTATGCCTGATGATTGGCTTCCCCGGGGGTGACGAAAATCCATAACCATATAGATTAGCGGAGCACTTCCAGTTATAACCCAATTACCCCAATCTGACACAGCGTGTGCTGTATTACCGGTTTCAGCAGGTGTCAGCCTGACTCAGTTCGTAGCGCTCTCGCCTTCGAGTCCAAAGATTGTGGGTTCATTGTGCTCATATTCCATGTTGACACTCTAGTGCAGTGCAGTGCTGGAGGGTGCTAAGCATTGACCAAGGTACCGTCCTTCAGCTGAGACGTTAAGCTGGAAAGGGCTAGGTGTGGGGACTAAATATTATAAGTTAAAGATCCCATTTGAAGTATTTGAAAAGCAAAGGGAGTTCCTCTGTGTGTCCTGGCCAATAATTCCCCCATATTGAAAAAAATTGGGCGTTCGTTTTATGGCTGTTTGTGGGACATTGATATGTGCATAATATATGAACAATAACATAGATTAACAAAGCTCTGGTGGATATCAATTATTCCACGCACCCACTGAGGCACAGTTGGATTTCATTATTGGCCTAATCTTTCATAGCTGGGGAATTTGGAATTAAACATTTTTAATCTTATTAATGAACGGGTCAAACAATGGCGGAAGAGTAACATTAAACCGATTGGACGTTCTCTACCTCCATTTCCCCCATTATATTACACCCCAGGAACTAGGTATCATACTTCCAGGTACACAACACTGCATTGCAAACTCACTTTCAATTTTAGTTTGTCTAATCCTATCGCAAAATCATGGAGCAGTTTAATACAGGCCTGAAGTGTGTTAAATTTCCAGATGTTCACTGATACAGATGTTTGAGGTAATATGCAATGAAAGGTTTCCCCAAGTCCCCAATGTCGATTCCAGTTGGAATTATTGAGCGAGGTTCCTCAGCTTCAAGCTCTGACAACATCAAGTGCTCTGAAACTCTAGTTACGCAAAGGGTGCTGTATAAATGCAAGTTATTCCTTTTGTTGTTGCTGCAAAGATGAGATCTAAAGAAGGACCAGCTAGGTCACCGCTCTTCAGCCCTTAACAGAGAGATAGATAGATCTCAACCATTTCACAACAAATCCCTTTATTATGTCCACTGGGATTGGTATTATCCACTCGTATACTACAGCCATAACAACAACAACAAAAATTATTATATTTGTATAGCGCCTTTCACTTTGGGAGGACGTCCCAAGGCGCTGGACAGTCAGAATTACGGACCTGAGCTGAGGGTCGGGGTGGGGGAGGGTGGAGGGCAGGGGGGGAAGCAGGGAGATCGAAACAACAGCTTGCATTTACGTAGCACCCTCACCCAGGGTAGTGTCTCAAAACGCTTAGGACTTAAGCTTTTGGAGAACCCGACGCAATAGTAAAAGACCCTCATTGAAAGACCCTCTTAGGTTTATTAGAAATATTTTTTATATATAGTCTGTCCAATTATTTTGCTGAATTTTCTCTCTATTGGATCTCTGTACCTGGTTCCTGACATCCATTGACCTCCAGAGGCCCAGTTTTACAGGGTGTCACAGCATGAACCTGACCTCTCTTCGTTGCCACACAGATGTACAACCACTAGAAGATGTTGAAGAGAGACCAGGAACCTTACACCATTGCAGGAAACTATCTATCTATCTATCTATCTATCTATCTATCTATCTATCTATCTATCTATCTATCTATCTATCTATCTATCTATCTATCTATCTATCTATCTATCTATCTATCTATCTATCTACCTCCCTCCCTCCCTCCCCTCCCCTCCTACCTACCCTCCCCTCCTACCTCCCTCCTACCTCCCTCCCCTCCCTCCCCTCCCCTCCCCTCCCTCCCCTACCTTCCTCCCCTCCCTCCCCTACCTCCTCCCTCCCTTCCTACCTACCTACCTACCTCCCTCCCTCCCTACCTCCTCCCTACCTACCTTCCTCCTCCCTCCCCTCCCTACCTCCCTTCCTCCTACCCTACCTACCTACCTACCTACCTACCTACCTACCTACCTATCTATCACTGAGGCTCTCCATGTCAACAGTTTTATACGGACCAATATACCATCAGCGGATTCTTTGCTACTTTTCGTTATTATACAATCCTAAGGGCTTGACTGTTTAGAAACCATTATGCTCCAATGATAAGTGCTTTGAGACATCCCGACATGATATCTCCACTATGAAGGCACTATATCAAATGCCAAGGAATATTATTATTAATCTCCCCTTTTTCTTATACTATACATTATACCGTACTAACAATGCTAGTGCTATATCAGAAGCAATTTATTATCATACAAAATACACAGAACTGCGTTCTGTGAAGTACTTTGAGACGTCTCAACCACAGGATTGGAGTTGAGGTACAGATCAGCCACGCTCCAATAGAATGGCAGAACAGGCTCGAGGGGCTGAATGGCCTATGTGCCTATGACAATATGTAAACAGGAAGAATTATTATCATCATCTTTTGATGCTTGATTCATTGCTTCTGTTGCAGTATTTTGTGAGGAACAGGTAAATGGATGTGCAAGTCAGAAATGTGTGGACAGTATCCAGTAACCTGCTGTTATCTCCCTCTCTCCCTCTCTCTCCAGTACAAGCAAGTGGAACAGTACATGTCCTTTCACAAACTTCCAGGCGAAATGAGGCAGCGAATCCATGATTACTATGAACACCGATACCAAGGCAAGATGTTCGACGAGGAGAGCATATTGGGGGAGCTGAGCGAGCCGCTGCGGGAGGTAAGTCAATAGGGTCACTACCCTACACGAGGGGCTCAATGTAAATGCAGGTTATTGTTGTCAATGCACTGGAGCTCTGCGGTGACTAAAGTGGTGGTTCTGAACTCACCTCCCAATCACAGAGCAACGTTTTATCTGCACAAGGCATATTTTTNGCTGTATTTCATTACAGGAATCTCATCCAGCCCATTGGACCTCCACTCCTGAAGTAAATCCGGTTGCTGCAGAGTTCCCGTGGGCCTTACTTTTGGTTTTAGCGGATGATTTCCTATTGTCATGATCCAGATACCCAATTATGGAATCCTATTCAGAATTATTTTTNGAGCGTTCGGTGGGAACTGACCCATGTGGAAACCCATCACCACGCTTAAAACATCTCCAAACCAAATCTACTGAGAGTTCCACCTACACATGGGACTCTAAGATAGATGAATGCGGAGCTATCAACTTATTATGTGTTTTAGGATCAATTTGGTACAATGCAATGTGATATTTTTGGTGAAAGTCACTTGAAGTGAAACGCAAAGCAAACTTTCCCAATGGATTAGACCGACCCTTTTGTTGATTATCCAGTTGATTAACAGTGCTTCACGCTGAAGGAGGAATTAGTTTGGAGCGCGTGATTGGATTTATTCAGGAGCCAAGGATAATAACAGGTGTCCTTAGTCCGAGGTGACTCAATCCCAATTCAGCCAAGCGGACTGGTAACTGCTTCAACTCATTAGCCCCGATGATATCTTCAGTGCTACCTTAGGTAACCTGCCCTCCCCTGCTGCTAAGGCTCCCAGTCAGCTGTGCTTTAAGATGTCTCTGCAGGACTTATAAAAGTGTATATCAATTTGAATGATATACATTTAGTGCTGTGGCACTCTACCCTGCATGAAGGGTGCTACATAAATGCATGTTGTTGGACCTCTCCGCCGCTTTCGACACAGTCGATCACGCCATCCTCCTCCACCGCCTTTCCTCTGTCATCCACCTCAGTGGGACCGCACTCGCCTGGTTCGAGTTCTATCTTACAAACCGCCAGCAATACATCTGCACAAACGGCTTCTCCTCCCGCTCTCACCTGGTTATCTGCCATGAGCCATGGGGCCTTCTTTATCCAAACCAATCTTGTGAGATGTCCCCCTGATGTGAAAGGGCTGTGAAAGTAACTTGTTGTTGGAACATATGTACTCAAAGGAGAGGAAGTGTAATTTTCAAAGGTATCCTGATGGAGGGAACTGCATCTCTGTAATGAGGTAAATGCTTGCAGATCCCCACGTGATGAGTTCCTGATCTTGTCGTGCTAAACACGAGGCTAGGAGGTCCAGTTCAGAGAAAGAGGTCAGGAGATAATCAACAGATCAGCCACTCTGGGCTACTCTCACCCACAAAATCACAGAAGATCTCAAGATTGGTTTGGATAAAGAAGGCCCTTCGGCCCATCCGATCTCATCTTTCCAGAGCACCCACTTACCACACATAAAGCTGTTTTTTTTTTTCCTGGCCTCTACCACCTTTCCTTGCTACCTGTTCTAATTGTTGATTAGATTATAGTGTTGGTTTGTTTATAATATCAATGGGTTATGGAACTCTCACCTCTTGTTGAATCAACCGGTTGATAATTATGGGCTATCTTCCAAACAAATGCCCAGTCTATATCCATCGTTATTTCTGAGCTCACACTGAAGGTTGATAGTATGACGGAGGCAGGGAGAGAAAGGGAAAGAGAGAGAGAGAGAGATGAAAAACAGTTCGGCGGAGTTACACTGATTGGTAATTGACAAGAGCGGAAGCTACACTCAGTCGATACAGTCATTAACCCAGAGTGGGTCCACAATTTTTAATCATTGTAACAGCTCCTTGTGTTGTCACAAGTAATAATTATACAGCTCCCCTGAAGGTATCATTGGCAAACAACGTTTACACAAAAGTAGATAGCGATTTGGTGCAGTGAATTAGCACACTGTCCTTTCCTCTCTGGCATTTAATCCAGCCGAGAATCATCAGAAGGAAGTGTCCTGAAACGCCAGTTTGAAGATAGATAGTAAAATGAGTCAGGACTGTGTCCTTTGCAGTCGCCCTGCAACTCTGCTGGACAATTTTTCCAAATAAATGGGTGTGTAATTGCTATTAATCAGAAGCCTCAGAGATATTACAAATAAGAGCTGGAGTACGTAATGGAAGTGTCACACAAGCTGATGAAGCAGTATAACACGGGCAAGTAAACATTCTCTCTCCTGTGCCTCAAACATTGTCCACAGAAATCTCAACAGAGGTACTGAGATCAAAAAGCACAGAATTTCCCAAAGCTGGTAATGGTCAGCATCCTGTCGGGCAGTGGTTAGTGGCTCGCCTTGCAAGCGAGAGGACCTGGATTCGATTCCTGACTGTAGCAAAAACGCAGGAAAGTTTAACTTACTCCACACCTCTGTTTACCTAGCAGTAAGTGGAAACCCAGTTGATAGTCGGTGGGTGGATTACTTTCCAGGGTTAGTAATCTCTCAAAAAAAATCATGATTGCTTGTGGGACACTGGTGTGTACAATTGGCTGCCACGTTTCGCCCATAAAGTACACAGTCAATTCACTTTATAATATATTCACGTCTCAATGGCGTGATGAGGTGCTATATCAAATGCAAGGATTATTTTTTTATTTTAACAGGGGCAGAAACTTCAATAATTGTTCAATAAATGTTTAAGCTGGTGGTAACAGTCAGAGATGCACAACTGCCCAACTCCCACTCCCATGCCCTGCATCCCCTCCCCACACTCTACCAGGAGCTGAGTGGGATGATTCCCTACCCCCAGTGACTGGTCAATGTAATAATAAATAAATAATTCTTGTATTTGATATAGCGCCTTATCACGTCTTCGAGACGTCTCTTAGTGCTTCACAGAATATACTGTAAAGTGAATTGACTGCATATTTTGTGGGTGAATACATCTCTATGTATCTACATAATGATTCAAACCGACACTCTCTTGCTTTGCAGGAAATAATCAACTTTAACTGCCGTAAACTGGTGGCGTCCATGCCTCTGTTTGCCAACGCAGACCCCAACTTTGTCACGTCCATGTTGACCAAGCTACGCTTCGAGGTGTTCCAGCCTGGAGATTATATCATTCGCGAGGGGACAGTGGGGAAGAAGATGTACTTCATCCAGCATGGTGTTGTCAGTGTCCTCACAAAGGGCAACAAGGAGACAAAGCTCTCCGACGGTTCCTACTTTGGAGGTAAGAAGCTCTCGGCTGCTTCACTTACGATAAGCAGATCGTTTTCCGAGGGTAATAATAATCCCTTTTAAAAAAAAACGAATGAATAATTTCATCACTGAATCCGCAACTGTTTGTGGGACACTGCTGTCCACAATTGGCTGTCATGTTTCGCCCACAAAAGATAGTTAATTCGCTTTACAGTTAATATTCTTTGAAGCACTTTGAGATGTCTCAGCGAGGTGTAATGGTGCTATATTCAAATACGAGGATAGTTATCTAATTATTTTTATAACCCTTGCATTTGATATTGTGCATGATCAAGTCATCGAGACACCTCAAAGTGCTTCACAGGATTTTACCATTCAGTGCAGTGACTGTGTATTTTGTAGGCGAATGTAATGTCTCTCAGCAGTGTCTCACAAACAGACATGAAGTCAGTAGCCAATTTCAGCTGGGGAGATCGTGGGCTAGGACACTGGGAAAAACTCCCTTGTTGAATAGTGGCACGGGATCCTCAAAGTCCACCTGAACCAACACAGAAGGGGCCTTGGTTTAATGTCTCATCCGAAAGATGGCACCTCAGACAAATGCAGCACTTCCCCCATACGGCACTGGAGTCAGCCCACATCTTGAGTTCAAAGTCCTGATGTGGGGCTTGAACTCACAGCCTTCCGAGGAGAGAGTGCTATCAATTGTAATTAGCAAATTAAATCAGTTCTGAAACTTCATATACCTTTGCGTGCCTTTTGTATCTTTTTACCTCCCAGTGGATTTGAAGAGTACTCAGGCCATGTGGCTAACTGAGGCAGATTGATTGAACAATGAGACATTCCATGCCTTCAGTCAAACTATCTGTCCTCACATGAAGGCTAAAGTGTGACAGATATTCATGACTGCAATTCAAGTACTTACTACAGGCTTCGTTTTTGTTAAAGGGAAGACTGGATCAATGTGCACTTAAGTCATAAAGCGGATTCACGTCCAGCCCTGACCCCAGACACACTCCAGCCCTGACCCCAGACACACTCCAGCCCTGACCCCAGACACACTCCAGCCCTGACCCCAGACACGCCAGCCCTGACCCCAGACACACTCCAGCCCTGACCCCCAGACACACTCCAGCCCTGACCCCAGACACACTAGCCTCACCCAGACACACTCAGCCCTGACCCCAGACACACTCCAGCCCTGACCCCAGACACACTCCAGCCCTGACCCCAGACACACTCCAGCCCTGACCCCAGACACACTCCAGCCCTGACCCCAGACACACTCCAGCCCTGACCCCAGACACACTCCAGCCCTGACCCCAGACACACGCCAGCCCTGACCCCAGACACACTCCAGCCCTGACCCCAGACACACGCCAGCCCTGACCCCAGACACACTCCAGCCCTGACCCCAGACACACGCCAGCCCTGACCCCAGACACACGCCAGCCCTGACCCCAGACACACTCCAGCCCTGACCCCAGACACACTCCAGCCCTGACCCCAGACACACTCCAGCCCTGACCCCAGACACACTCCAGCCCTGACCCCAGACACACTCCAGCCCTGACCCCAGACACACTCCAGCCCTGACCCCAGACACACTCCAGCCCTGACCCCAGACACACTCCAGCCCTGACCCCAGACACACTCCAGCCCTGACCCCAGACACACTCCAGCCCTGACCCCAGACACACTCCAGCCCTGACCCCAGACACACTCCAGCCCTGACCCCAGACACACTCCAGCCCTGACCCCAGACCTCCAGCCCTGACCCCAAACACACTCCAGCCCTGACCCCAGACACACTCCAGCCCTGACCCCAGACACACTCCAGCCCTGACCCCAGACACACGCCAGCCCTGACACCAGACACACGCCAGCCCTGACCCCAGAAACACGCCAGCCCTGACCCCAGACACACTCCAGCCCTGACCCCAGACACACTCCAGCCCTGACCCCAGACACACGCCAGCCCTGACCCCAGACACACTCCAGCCCTGACCCCAGAAACACGCCAGCCCTGACCCCAGACACACGCCAGCCCTGACCCCAGACACACTCCAGCCCTGACCCCAGACACACTCCAGCCCTGACCCCAGACACACTCCAGCCCTGACCCCAGACACACTCCAGCCCTGACCCCAGACACACGCCAGCCCTGACCCCAGACACACGCCAGCCCTGACCCCAGACACACTCCAGCCCTGACCCCAGACACACTCCAGCCCTGACCCCAGACACACTCCAGCCCTGACCCCAGACACACTCCAGCCCTGACCCCAGACACACCCAGCCCTGACCCCAGACACACTCCAGCCCTGACCCCAGACACACTCCAGCCCTGACCCCAGACACACTCCAGCCCTGACCCCAGACACACTCCAGCCCTGACCCCAGACACACTCCAGCCCTGACCCCAGACACACTCCAGCCCTGACCCCAGACACACGCCAGCCCTGACCCCAGACACACTCCAGCCCTGACCCCAGACACACTCCAGCCCTGACTCCAGACACACTCCAGCCCTGACTCCAGATACACTCCCGATTCCACCCACAACTTTCATGCCCTATCACCCCCAATCTCTGTGATCTTCTCCTACCTCACTTCTCTGCTCCCCCCCAGCCCGCACCTGGATAACTGATAACATCCCCAGTTCACCTCTGTGCCATCATCCGTGGCCTTTAGATTCTACACCCTTGATTCTACACTTCTAGAACTCCCTCTCTCTACTCCTCCGCCTCACCTACTATCTGTCTGTAAACCCCACCTAAAAAAATGACCTCTTCAACAGTGTTGCTGGTCATCTCCTCCCCCTTTCTCCCTTGCTTGGGATCCTACCTAACTTTGTGAAGGTCTCTGATACATCATTCCTGCATGACGGAGAAAGGATAAAACAAACAAAAAAAACAAGAACCAAGGCTATGTTTTAGCAAATCAAGAGTCAACGTTTGAGATCTACATTTCCTTTTGGATATTCATATGAAACAAGAGAAAGTTTTTTGGTTTTACTACTCCTTTCAGCCAAATGGAGCATGTCATTGTCGGCACAGAAGGAGAGAGAAAAAGTGCATAGGGTCAGCAACAGTGCTAAAGCTTTGTTGCAGATTTGGAAGCCAGTGTTGACTTGATGGAGTTTTCAACTAATTAAAGCAGCTTAATTCATCAGTGATGGCTGTGTGAAAGCAATTCATTCTCAATCTGCTATAGGTAGCAATAGCTTAACCACAGAGTCTCAGTCAGCATCTTTCAGATGTCTCTGCACAGCAGGGAGAGAAAGCACAGCTGAGTCCTTACAAACACACAGCTCGTTTGCCAAGGAATGACGTGCTCAAATCTGGAATCCTACAAATTGCAGGTTAAGAGAGCCAATCGGCAAATCTTAGCCCATTTCATGAATTATTCTTTTCAGTGGTTTAGTGTAGTGAAGGAAAGAAGACATGTAGTTTGACACAGATGCGATGACATTTTCAAACGGCTTCTCCAGGTGAAAGTTGACTGTGGATTGAGCTGACTTTAGTTGACATTAGATGAGCATTAAAAAGCAGATAAGTGGAGAACATGGGATTAGGATTGTCTAAAATGGAAATGAAAAGGACAATGTTTTTCATCACGTTAGAGGAATGAGCTATGCGCTTAGACAAGTTAAGGCTCTTCAGTCTTGGGAGACGACATTTCAGAGGCGACCTCATAAAAGAGTAGAGCATTTTAAATAGGATTGAAAAAATTCTGAAATTGATTTTAGGATGTAATAAGATAGTAGAACAAGATGACACAGGTGTAGCGCTGCAATGGACAATTTCAGGACAGACACTAGGAAGTTCTTTTTTACTCAGAGGCTAATTAATGGGGGGAATGGCAGGATGGGTGTTCTGGAGAGTTGAGATCAGATGGACCGAAGGGTCTTCTTTATCCGAACCGTTCTTGTGATCTTGTGAAAAAGTGAAATGCAAAGGAAGTGGGAATGCAAAGTTCAGATATTGTTTTACACAGAGAGTTCTTGGGATCCTGCAGCCTCTTGGGACGTCCTCCCGACGTGAAAGGCGCTATACAAATGTAATTTTGTTGTTGCTGTTCTTGGGACACACAATGCCCTGCCTCCATTGACACAGAATCCACATTAGCTTTTCAGAGGGAATTATAATATCCTTACATTTGGTTTAACGCCATTCATGTCGAGCGCATGTCTCAAAGCGCTTTATAGGATATACAGTAAAGTGGAGCGATCATGTGTTTGTGGGCCAATTTGTGCTTGAGAACCCCATGCTGAAGGAAACAAGGATATTTGCAGACTAAAGTCAGGGAGTACTCAATAGTTATGTGCTGCTGGGGCTGGGAAGAAGGGATTGGTTTCACGTGGTTAAAGTAATTGATAGGAATCAGAGGATAGCATGTCTTTGCATTGCATTCCCCCCACACCCTCCCTCCCACGGTGGGGATAGAAAGAGATGTGCTGCATTGTTGGAGGTGCCGTCCTTCAGATGAAATGTTAAACCGAGGCTCCATCTATCTCACTAAGGTGGATCTTAAAGATCCCATGGCATTATCTGAAAAAAGAAGAGAGTTTCTCTCGGTGCCCTGGCCAACAAGCCCCCGGATAAAATTGGTGGTTCATTTCATTGTTGTTGGTGGAACATTACTGTGTGCAATTGGCTGCTGTGTTCATCTACAAATACACAGTCACTCCACTCTATAGTAAATTACGTGAAGCGCTTTGAGACAATTTGACGACGTGATAAGGCGCTCTATTGAAACAACAACAACATTGCATTTATAGAGCGCCTTTCACGTCAGGAGGACATTCCAAAGCGCTGAACAGTCAGATTTCGTGGTCTGAGCATGGGGGAGGGGTGGTGTAGAGGTGAGGGAAGGTGGAGAGATGGGAGGGAGACCAAAGGCACCGTCGAAGGGCCTTGAAGGATGTAAGGGAGGAAGCGAGGCGAAGGGACCGTGGAATGGAGTTCCAGAGTGTGGGGGCAGAGAGGTTGGAAGCCCGGCCACCGATGGTAGGGCGGGAGACATGGAGCAGGCCCGGAACCTGATGAGCGGAGAGAGCGGGCAGGTTGGTAGGGAGTCAAGCAAACAAAGGGTTATTATGATTATGGTATTGATTGATAAACCAAGGCATGTGTACATACTGTTGTCCACCACAGAAACACGAGTTTACATGGTGGTTCACTTTTTTTTAATGTTTACCGTAGTTTTGTTTGTCTCCTGCACTCCGCAGAAATCTGTTTGCTGACCAGGGGACGTCGCACGGCGAGTGTTCGGGCGGACACTTACTGCCGTCTCTACTCCCTGTCTGTGGACCATTTCAACGAGGTGCTGGAGGAGTATCCCATGATGAGACGTGCCTTTGAAACCGTGGCCCTCGACAGACTCGACAGGATAGGTACAGACGCTTTCTCTACTTGCTTGATGTTGGCGGTTTTTTTTTCGGTCAGCACTTATGGAAAGCCATCATCGTGCTTAAGAGTATCCTGACCAAATTGAGAATTCCATTGCATCCCACCTACACATGGGAATCCCAGCGATGGATTGTTGGAATGGAATGCACTCTCTCCCTGGAGGGACCCATCCTGCTTACCTAATTACGTTTCTTTCCCCCCTTCACTCCACACCAGCCTCGGCTCCCTGACTTTGCTGCCACAAACCCTTAAGCAGTACTGGTGAGAAACTGACTTCACTCAAGGTCCCCGTAATCAGTGAGCCTTCCCGTCAGGACGGTTTTTACAAAAGCATTTTGCATTCCCTCTGTCACATTTAATTTCAAATAAATTCCGCAGCATTCTGAATTATGCCCTCTTGAGGTGATTGATGTTGGCAGGATTCGGGGAAAGCGTAAAACAAAACACAATGTCAAGTAGAGTACCTCCCACGTTGAGACTTTGAACTCATCTAAGCTAGGCTGATGCTCCAGTGCAGTGCTTTGTTGGGGGAGCCCCTCATTGCCAGAAGTAACGTTCTTCTGTTGAGATGTTAAACCGAGGTCTCGACTGCCTGTTAGGGTGGACTTCGTAGATCCCAACACACTAGTTAAAACGGAGTCTCTTTCTCTCCTTGAGTCCTGGCCAACAATCCACCAGCTAAAATTGGTGTTTGTGGGACATTCCACCACTTCATGGCTGTTTGTGGGACATTGCTGTGTGCAAATTGTCTTCAGCGTTTGCCTACAAAAAACACACACACAGTTACTACACTTTACGGTACAATCCTGTGAAGACGTCCTCCCGATGTGAAAGGCACTATATTAAATTCAAGGATTATTATTCATGTGCGACACTAAAGAGAATAGAGAAAAGTAACAGTTTGGGATATACCAAAATAGCAATTTAACGTCTCATCTGAAGGACGGCACCTCCGATAATGCAGTGCTCCCCCAGCACTTCACTGGAGCGTAGCCTAAACTGTGTGAGCCCTAACAGTAGTAAATGACAACAGCCAAAGTACAGGCAGATCGTCAGCCTTCCTGAAGCTCCCCAACGAGATAATGACACCATTTCACACTTAACTGTTAGTCACAACATTTCCAGTTGTTGGTTAAGTTGATTCCGTAAGTATTCACAGAAATAAGCTCTCATGAAATAGATCGGTAGATATTCCCTACAGATTTTCTTTTCATTGGAGGTCTTCCAGTTGTGAAAGATTCATGTCAAATTTCCTGCAGCAATGAGGATAAATGGTCCTTGTCTACGGCAGGCCAGAACCCTTCAGAATGATGAGACTAAAAGTAACATCTCCTGTGACTGCAGTCTAGTCAATTGGAAAGTTGCTTGTGACTGAAGAAGGTCTCGCGAAAGAAGAGTTGGCAAATTAGAATCTAATTATCAGAGTGCAGCAAATGATCCGTAAAACAGGCAATCCTGAGGACAAAGTAGTTTGAGAACAAACGCTGAACTTCTAAACCAACTTGTGTGATGCAATTTAGCCAAGATAGGCACTGCTCAGTGAACAGCATTCCAGTTGGCACTGGAATTCCTGTTTCTACAAACTCCAGTGCCAGCCTGGCTCAGTTGGTAGCAAACTTGTCTCTGAGTCACAAGGTTTTTGGTTCAAAATCCTCACTTTGGGACAATGAGCTCATAGCCTAGGTTGATACTGCAATGCAGTGATGGGCGAGTTCTGCATTGATGGAGATGCTGTCCTTAAGATGAGACTTTAAACTGAGATCCTGTCTCAGTTATAGACATTAAACTGAGGTTTCCTCTTTCCTCTATAGCGCTTTCATGTCTAGAGGATTTCCAAGGCCTTGGGACGTCCTCCCGATGTGAAAGGCGCTGTACAATTTGTTGTTGTTGTTGTTTGCTTGTTCAGGTGGACGTTAAAGATCTTATGGCAATGCTCGAAAACAGACGGGAGTTTCTCCTGGTGTTTTGGTCAACAATCCCCCATTCACCTCTTGGATGTTTGTAGGACACTGCAGTGCGTAAGTTGGTGATGCATGGGTTCACCTACAAAATACACAGTCACTACAGTTTGCAGCACTTTGAGACGTCCTCCAGACATGAAAGGCAAATGCAAGGATTTTTTCTATTATGATTATTATTATTAGCATCATGAGTTTATGGAGGAGTTCTGCAGCTGTCTTTCACACTGTGATCCCCTGCCTTGCAAACGCAACATATTTAGCAAGGATAGCCTACTTTCCTAACATTTCTTCCCAGTGACAGTCAGCTTATAGCTGGTTCAGCTCGTTAGATAAGTAAGCTCGCCAACATTGCAGCCAATGTGACATTGCCAGTCCCCAGTACTACAGCCGCTGCAATGATAAAACAGAAAGCACCAGAAGGAGCTCTTATCCTTCCCGATTATGTCACCTCCCGACCTGAAGGTGGCGAGGAGAGGACTTCAAATTACATTTAATTATGAGAAAGAAAAGTCTCGGGGGCAAAGAAATCACATCTGTTGAAAGTTGCTGGATGTTCAGGTGAATTATATGTATTTCTCTTGAGAATAAGAAATGTGGGGCGAAATTCCTCAGTGCATAAGCCAACTTGACCCATAGTGATAATGGCTTTTTTTTCTTGAGTTCTTCCTATGTAACCCATTCTTATTAGTAAACTAATCTCCGTCTTTCCAAGCAAAACTCGTACACTTTGACTGCAATTGTGCCAGCCTGAGCTCAGTCGATAGGTAGTGCACTCATCTCGAAGTCAGACGGCTGGGGGTCAGACCCCACATGTGGACTTGGAATTCAGAGTCTAGGGAGACACTTCAGAAGTTATGGCAAGGTGGAGTCACTGGGTATTTGTAGGCAATCGCAGTAGCCAATTTGTACATTGCAATAACACAGAAACAGCCTATGCTTAATAACATTACTTGCATTTTGATGTAGCACTTTATCACGTCGGAAGGACATCTCAAAGCACTTCACAGGATTTACTGTGAAACAGAGTGACTGTGTATTTAGAGGCAAATGTAACAGCACAATTGCACATAGCAATGTCCCACAAACGGCCATAAAATGAGCGGCCAATTTTATTTAGATTTGTTGGCTGGGACACCCTTCTCTTTTCGAATAGTGACATGGGATCTTTGGCGTCCACCTGAACAGGCAGACGGGACCTCGGTCGAAAGTATCATCCGAAGTACGGCACCTCTGACAATGCAACACCAACCCCCTGCACCACATTGAAGCATCAGCTTAGAATATGTGAGTTCAAGTCCTGACTCAGATGTTCGGCGAATTGTTGGCCAGGACACCAAGAGAAACTCCCTTCTCTTTTGCAATGGGATCGTGAACAGGTAGACGGGAACTCGGTTTAATGTTTCATCCAAAGGACAGCACCTCCAACAATGCAGAATTCCCCCAGCATTGCACTGGAGTGTCAGCCTGGAATGTAAGCTCGAAGTTGCTCGTGTCAGTAAAGTGTATTTAACTTGCTTTTACTTGCTTATTGGACAAATGAATGCGTATTCAATAATGGCTTTGTTCAGGATTTCATTGCATCTCCCTTTAATTGAAATTGTTGAGCGTCATTTTGTTCCAACATTCAGGAAACACTTGCGTTAAAACAAATCCAGGAAGCGCCTGATTAAAACATTACAGCCCCGTTTCTTTTTGCAACAGCATCAGTCACCTGCAGTTATCATAACACTAAGGCTCAGTGCACGGCGCTCTTAACACGGTTTGTCGTCTTTGTTTGCTGCTCCATGCCAGATCCTTCAGATCTGAGAAAGTTCACCTTGAGTTCTATAAATCAGTGAAGAGCTTTTTGTCTGGAGATTGTGCTGCAGTCTTGTGACTCCCGTTGTATCCTTCCAGTACCTGCAGTATTTTTGTCAGCCACCGCCAATGCGGACAAATAACGTGAAGGGTACAGAGCCCGAAACTCAGTGTGAAAGATAGGTGGCGGACACTAACCTAGGTGGGACTAACCCAGGGCTGGAACAGAGGGTGGATGTCCATTTCTAAGTGCTTCAGAGTGGTAGAATGTGGCATCTGTACTTCTTCACACAGTGATATCTGGATTTTTCCCCACCTTCGCCCCAAGGACATCAGTGAATTTGATGAGCCAGTCAACCTCTCCTCGTGATCTTAATGAACTCCGACGGCCGAAATTCCACCCAGCCTTAGCCTGCGAGTCCTGTTCTTTTCTGCCTTCAAAGTCTCACATTGTGCACAGAGATTTCTTCCACTCAGCCTTACTTTGGAAGCTGGTTTTCGGGAGGATCCCAAATTATAATTTCAAATTTTCCACAATTCTGCATGATCTTAAATTGTGATTAATAATAATCTTTGCTTTATCAAGTCATCGAAATGTTCTCAAAACGCTTCACAAGATATACTGTAAAAAGGATTGACTGTATTTTGTGAGCGAAATGAGGCAGCCAGTTGTGCACAGCAGCATCCCACAAACAGCCATGGAGTGAGTGACCAATATTATTTGAGGGATTGTTAGCCAGAAAACTGGGAGAGAGAAACTCCCTTCTCTTTTCAAATAGTGGCATTCGATCTTTAATGTCCACCTGAACAGCCTCAGGGAGCTCAGTTTAACGTCTCAACCGAAGGACGGCACCTTCTGCAATGCAGCATACCCCCAGTGCTGCATTGGAGTGTCAGCTTAGACGATGTGATTCCAAATCCTGATGTGGGTCTCGAACCCACAACCTTCTGACACAGAGGCAAGTGTGCTACCACTGCGCCACGCTGACACGCCAGGTGAAGGCAAACTAAAGGTCTCGCAGGATAAAACTGGGTGGAATTCCGGATCTCTAGAGTGTAGTCCTCAAGCATGGCTTCAGAATAATGCAGCGCAATGCAGTATTTATTAGAACTATGATGAATGGATTCTGCTATAAAGCTCAATGGAAATGCTTTGGCAAGTACTGTTTATAATTGCTGCTCATGGCACAATTCATGATAACTAATCTCTATTGGAGGACTTCCAT